ATTTTTTGGTTCATAGTCCCAATTTATTCCAAAAGGAAACTTTTCTAGATGTCTGTATATTTTCAGGAACCCTGTAAGTCTAGGGTGCCTAGAAGAACATGAGTCTTTGGTATTACCATATTGAGAATATTAAAGGGGAACATATATTAAAGGGGTAAACAGTATCAGTCAAGAAAACTTTCTAATACACTGGCTGTTTTATCAGTTATTACCTTCTAACCTAGTGTTTTAAAACACATGAATAATTTTGATTTTCCTTTGATTTCTTTAATATATACTATAGATTTACTTATAGATTTTGACTTTTTGTTTGGTAAAGACTTTTGCTGCTGATTATACTTAATTGAAATGAAGTATTCCTGATGAATCAAACCTCCCTTTAGGGATTCAAAAAATGTAAATCTAATGCAAATTTCCAATCTATCACCAATGCTATAACATGTCCTGTGAATCTGAAATGATAACTGGAATAGATCTTGCAACAGTCAAGCTAAGGAATGTTCTACACTGTACTTTAAAATAACAAATGATGCCCTATCTTTTTCCAGAACCATGAGTCACACAGTGTAGAAGCTGTGCCACTTGATGTTCTTCTAAGACTGGATGGAGTGGAAAAGTGATCAAGAAGACACTTAAATATGCAATTTCTAGAAAGCAACTAGCTATATGAGATAGCACAAGTAGCATCACCACATGAAACAAGCTTCATATGCTCTTTTACATGTGCTATTAAATTAGTTGCCAGTGTTTTCAGTTATAAAGCAACTTGGGATTTTACTTTACCTGACTTTTACATATTTGTAATGTTTGTAGTGCTTAATGTTATTATTATTATTTTTAAATCTATGAGGCACATGTACATTTGTTAAATATGTACGAATGTATGTATGTGTACGCATGTTTGTATGTATACACACAAGTATATAAAAAGAGCTATTTTTAAAGATATTGCTAAGACATTTCAATACCAGCCAAACATATTTATCTGAGGATTAATCTTCATCTATTGAATCAGGCAAGAGCACTGCTATGCATACAATTATTTAATTAGCAACCAAATCCTCTGCCAGTCAGCAGCCGTTTCAGGCATACTGATGGGGTAGAAGATGCAAATCTCACAGTCGTACTGCTTTTTCTCATTACTACTGCAATTAGCACTTAAATTGATGCTTTAAACATACTAATTTCTGGAATAATTCAGGATTTGTATGTTACCTGGGATCGCCTCACTGCAGAGCCGACACCAGATTGCTCTGCAAATTGAAGCACTTTTGAGCCAAATAACCATCATCATATCAGACTGAGCCAATTTGCATTTGGTTTTAAAGATAACAGAATGGCAATTTATGCAAATAAATTAAGTAAGTTTACTTCTGATTTCTCCCTGAACTAATTAAAACAATGTTCTAATTTTTTATCACATCTAAAATTTGGCTTGAAATCAATGTATGCTATGTTTGAAATCTGTTGTTGCTAACAGAAACCTTGTTTTGGTCTAAGTATATTGTTTTTATTCATAATTTTGATGGTAATTTAGTTAGAAAGGTAGGCACTTATTAGACAGTTTTTGGTGCCAATTTTGGGTTCAACAGAAATTGAACAATCAGAATTTACTGACTGTCATAGTTTTTCCAAGTCAAAAATAAGTTTTACTGGGAAAAAATGACATAGTTTAGAAGTTTCTTCATTTTATTTTTTATGTTTCTTTATTTTAATATTTGCATTTATAAGTCAATATATGTGAACTATGTTATAAATCCTGAATACTTATTTTGACATATTTGTAGTAAAATTGCTTAAAATTAAAAAATTAAAATTAAAATTTAGATTTTCCAAAGATGGTTTGGAGAGACCTGTTTTTCATGAACTAGACTTTGCCTTCTAAATTATCTTATATACAAATGAATTTATTTGAAGGAATATTTTAGAATCTTGGAAATATAAAGTGATTAAAATGAGGGTCATAAAAAAGTAAGGAGGGAATTCCATGAAATAAACCCAAGTATTAAAAGAAGAAAAGTGGGCCCTCTCTGGTGGTTCAACGGGTTAAAGCGCAGCACTTTGAAGCTAACAGCTGCACAAGCGGCTGCTTAGGAATTTGATCCCTGCCTCGGAGGTGACCCACATGGCACAGCAGCTCTCTCTTGTTTTACCTGCTCAGTAGTATACTTCGTCAATCTGTTCTGCTCCTCACTCTGACTCTAGTGAATCCTCTCACTGCCCCTGCACCTCTGGCTTGTACCCCAGTTCTGTATGCATAAATAAATGAGTCTTTAATAAAAAGACAAAGAAAACTATCCTGAAGAAAGGGATTAGAAGGACTCATAGGCAACACAGCCTTATAGTTGGACAAATAGGGTAAACTTCACTCACCAGCTGAATGCAATACACCAAAATAACTTTTATTCATGCCGACACTAATTGTTATTATAGTTTTTAATAACAAGTATTGGGGTCTTACTCTATATCAGGAACTCCATGAAGCAGTTTATATAACAACATTCTGCCAGATTTTCACAAGACCTGTACGAGATAGGCATGTTTTCAAATTCTAGTTATGGTTGGTAAATGGCAGACAAAACTCAAACCCAATACTTTGACTCCACAACCAATACTTTAAATTAAAGAAACCTCTTGGTTTAACTTCTCAGATAGGGTATTTTGGTATTTTGAGGTGAGGAAGCCTTGGGCCTACCTGCTTCATTTTTGTAGCTGGTAGCTCATTTTCTATCATGGAGCTGAAGACATGCTCCTTCCCTCCACAGGCCTGGATCAGCTCAGGAAGGCACTCGATGCAGCCACGGGCCCCCGCACGTGGGCCCTTTAAACCCGGGCTCCATTTCCTAGGAAATGATATCAACAACCACAACATAATTCTTTCATAACACCAGTGAGATTTTTCTGATAATGATGGCTTATATGGTTAGAACAGTTTTTTTAAATTTAAGACTACTATAATAACTTTTAAAGGCACTGTTATTGTTACCTTTCAAAATCAACCCACATTCTGAGCCATCAATCCAAGGTAGCATCACTATCATGGCATCATGATATCACATAAATGTGAGCTCATAAATATTTGGGATTCAGAAACAGGAGGACCCTTTTATGGGAAGGTACTAATGTATGTTAATGCTTCCACATGGATAAACTATGAACTGGAGCCCTGATGCAGGCCAATAGATCGAAAAAATTACTTGAAAGTAGTTTCCATTGTTAAGTTTTTGGGAGCATACAATTAAAAGTACATTTTGGGAAGCTAAGATTTATAGCATTAGAGTACCAGATCCCCAGGAACACAGTCCATCTAAATCTTACTCTCTTTTTCCTGTTTATACAGCAAGAAGGATATAAATGTATTTATATAATTGAATTATACAATATAGCAGTTTTCAATGTGACATCAAAGAACTGGATCAAATCTCCTAGGCCCAAAGCAGCTTCTGTAACAGACCTGACTGCTTTACGGCTGAAACCCAACTCTTGTGACTTTTAGTAGCTTATCGGAAGAGCTCCGAAACTGAGCTGAGACCTCTGAGGTATCTACTGAGTCCTATGAGCTTTTCCCACCCCTGCCACCTGCCTCTGGGATGGCTAATCCCCAAATGTGCCTCTTAGTTTCCAGGGACATCCCTGGCAGGGACTCAAGCACTATGGAAACAAGTACTCTGGAACCCAGGCACTTGAGTCAACTGGAGGGACTTTCCTGAGGAGATCCATGTGCATCTGAGGATTGAGTCAGAAACTGCCTAGATGCCTCCAATGAGTGCCACTCCTGGAGGTCCAGCTGACAAGGGACACAGGGTGCCTGGGGCAAGCTGCAGTCAGACTATTTGCTTGTCTACATGCCTGTGAATCACATTTTGGCTGGAAAGTATCTCTCAACTGGTGTGAAACACTGGTGTGAAAGAAATATTTTCAGTTAAACACTGCCAACGTAGCTTGTAATGTGTACTGTTCTTTTCTTTGCTAAAATATTTGTAGACATGTACACAGGATCAAGTAATTTGAGCACAAGCTATATATTTTTGAGCTGCTTGTGTAGATAACTCCCCAGTTTTGGACATTCTGTTTTCAGATCATTCAAATCTATTCAGCAATAGTAGAAATTGGTAACTTATTTTGCTTTTGATCACGAAGTATTTTAATAAGCAACTTTTCAAATGAAGGCCGATAGTGTAAAGGAAGAAACACAGCTAGCATAGAAATATGCCAATGTTGCAAATGGAAAACAGTTTACTAGAAGGTTAAAATGAATAGTGGTTCGGCTTGGGACAGATGATCAAGTTCCAAGTGAGAATATGATGTCACCAGGACATCTCTCCCTCTGGGCAAGTAGGGCATTTCACGATAAAGAATCAACGTTTTAGGCACAGCAGGGGAATCCACTGGCCACACATGCAAGGAAAATGCTTTTTTGAAATTAAAAAAAAAAAAACTAATTACATTGCAATTTAAAACAATTACCTGAAAATGTGAAGATGATGGTGTTCTATATTTGGTACTGTGGTAAGAGAAGAGTCTTTTAACCACCGGCCCTGGATAATCATCTGAACCAGATTGGTGATATTCAGGGCAGTCACCAGCCAGCCCTGGTTTGCAGCCACATCCAGCATTGCCTAAAGAGGGAAAAGTCACGTGTTACCAGAACACCATGACACTTGCCCTCTCCATGGGGGCGCTGACGTCAGACATAAGTAAAAACAAACAAGCAAAATAAACACTAAGCACATACCTGCAAATTAGTAATAATCCAAGTAGAAAACAGGATATAAATTACAGGTGGACTGGACAAAACAAACAATTGCCCATAGCATTATTTAACATTACTTCCTACTAAGTGTCAAATTTTTAGCTATGCCAGCACACCAAGACAGCCAGCTAATACTGATCCTCAATAACAAAGCAAACAGAAAAGCGCTGAGAGGAAATGCCTATATATTTCACTGGGTCAGGAGTAGTAAGAGCTGCATTTAAAGAGTAAAGCCCTGGTCGTGTTTACCAAATTTAAAATCAATAATGACAAGGTGTTTGGAAATTTCCTTGCCAGAAATTTATTTTAGCCAAAGAATAGGTAAAGATTGAGTCTTGGTTTTTAATGAACACAATACACTACACACCCCCAAAGGGGTAACTACCAGAACAATGGGAAGCTGTTCATATTAGTCTATACATTTAATCTAATGTTTTATGGACAAACAAATGGCTGCATTTGCTTAAGGCAAAACTAAACAGTGAAATCTTATTTAAACAAAGGAGACGTTTACACAGGCAAAGCTATTTCAATTAAATTAGATTCTGGAGAATGCTGACTTAAAGACACATAAGTTAATATTGTGATCTGAGCCAGCTACTTTATACAAATTTAGGTTCGCTTGTTTTGGGAAATTAAGAGATGAAGGTAGCAGGAATTAGATCTAGCTAGTAAATGCTTAAATCATACTCTAATAGTAAACAATTTATGGACAGTGAAGTATTTATAAAATCTTTATCAGTACATCATTAGAAACAATTTTTAAAAGCATACTTATGTTGCTAACATTAATGTGCCATATTACTTAGTATTACTGTGGTGACACATTTTTACTTGTAAGCATTGAGTTTCTTATTCTGTATTCTCTAATTCATATAAAGTTAAGGGATTCCAATCTGGCTAACCCTATCTCTGGTCTATTTATATACATTAGAGAACTGGACTCAGTGTTGCTGGACATGGGGATTAATATATCGAGAGGGTTGAACTGGCCTTTAGCACCCAGGAGGCTACTAAATATGCACCATAAAACCTGAATGTTGGTGTCACACACATTTATATGGGTATGTGTGTACATCAGTGTGCATACAGGGACATGTCTGTAAATGAGTAAAAATTCACGTTTATTCTTCCCTTTTCTTTGCAGAACTGATTAAAGCACTTGGTCTTTCTTTGAAGTGTGAGACAAGTAGGTTTATGAAAAACACTATTCGGGCCAAAAAAAAAAAAAAAGCATTAGTTCACAAGTCACTAGTCTTGAGTTCTATAAGGGAAAGGAAAAGGAAAAATGAATAATTATACTTAATACAGTATCATGATGCTGTCAGAAGTTGTAATGTGGAGTAACTATGGTGACTTTTACTTGTGATTTTATATTACAACCTAACTGGAAATAAATTCCAGACCAAAAATTCAACTAGAAAAGTTAGATGGATGGACCATATGTTTTTAACTTTGAAGTCTTCTTTCTTGAAGAAGTTGAAAGATTTCATAAAATTTATGAGTTCCCTGTAATTTTTCATTGTATGATCCAGATGTGAAAATGTAAAAAAAAAAAACATGCAACATGGTGGCTAACAAGAAAAGCTACATCATGAATTAAAATCTATTATTTATCTTGTTTTCATTCAGAGAGAGGGTATCCTGGAGGACCAAGAATCTGGGGTGATAAAGGTTTTGTGGATACTCAAATGTGGCAAATCAAACGTTGCTACAAGTTTCTGCTCAGTCACCCCTAGTTGGTCCTGTTCTCCCTACCTCTCTGCCCTTCCTCCCCACCCCTCTCCTGGCTTAATGCAGACCTTATCAACCCTCACCATAGAATATTATAAATATCCCTTTTTTTCTTATTCTCATCTAATTTTTCTTCAATCCATATTTTATATTTTCACCTAAGTAAATTTTTACAGAGACAAAAATAATCATGACTTTCCTCTGCTGAAATTTCTTCATACTGTATAAAAGGCCAGAAGCTAACATTTAACTGTCGTCAACATTCTAGATCTTCCAAGTCCTGGTTTATCACTTTGGTCTCCTTCCCTTTGTACTCTCAGTGTAGTGATAATATATTACTTCTATTTTCTCACATTTGTCCCTGATCTTAATGTTCTCATTTTACAAGTTCTGCTCCCTCTGGGAAATTTCTACTCATCCTTCAGTCTAGCTCAAAGCTATTTCTCCCTGTGAAGTGTCCATGCTTCTTTCAGATTCATGTAGGATGTAGGTACTTCTTTTCCTATATATATCCTGCTTGTGACACATGCCATCATTATTCTGATGTGATTCTTTGTTTATACATGTGCCCTTAAAACTACAGTCTCCTTGTTGGCAACAATTTGGAAATAGTCTTTGGAATTCTAGTCCTAGCATAGCGCACTCAAGAGAGAGTCATGTTATGAAACAATATTGGTAAAAATACAATTGTAATCATTATAACCATATTCTGCCTAAGTTAGCACACATTCGTCAAAGGCAGTACATCGCTGAAAAAATATGAACTTAGCTTAAATTCTAACTTTGTTCCACTTACTAAGTGTAAGTAGAGAAATTACTTAACCCTTCCCAGAGATCTCATTTATAAAAGAGGTATTTATTGTATTTCCTTACAGAGGTGTCAACAGGGTGAAGTGAGATAATATACAGTGTATGGTATCTCATATAGTGGGGCTTCCTTTGGGCCAATTGGTGTTGATTTCTACAAGAGTAGTACAGGGATTTGAGGAACAGGGCATGCAGGTCAGGGAAAATGTACAGAAGGGGCAGGGCAAAGCCTAAAGGGTGATGTGCAGTGTTGGGAACAAGGTCAAAGACATTCTCTAGACCGCAGCTTAGGCCAAGCTGGAGGGTTTGGGTTTGGTTCTAAGTCTGAGTGCACAAACCCACACTACTGAACTGTTTGGAGGTATAAACCTGAAATGATTAAGGTCAAGGAAAGGCTTAGGAAAATAGGCTTGAGAGTCTTGGGAGCTTGATTTCACACAACTCCTCATGACTGAACCTAGGATAGAATCTCTGTGTTTTCCTGTCTTTTATAGCAGCTCTTGTATATACAAGGACTAGTAGGTCTGTGCTTGTCCCCAGAACACAGCAGCGTTGGTAATAGCTGGGTATCAGTTTTATCCCCCAAGTGATCACAAAGTCCTTTACAGAGATCTCATACTCAACGAAAAAAAGTTGTTTTAACATATTTAAGAGAAATAATTGGACATTCTCAGCATTAACAATCGGAAAATATTTAGCTCCCCTTTACCTTTTTTATTCCTTTCAACTAGCAGGCACAGCTGGGGTGACCCCAGGGCAGAGGGAAAGTGGATATGGACTGACGTCGTGCTTGAGACTTTCTTCTACTAAACTGTATTAGGCTTTGAGTCTGTGTGGTATGACTGGAAAGAGACTCTGCAGAGAATTTAGAGTCTTGAGCCTTGAAATTAACTGTCAAGTCTTAGGCAGATCACTAGCATTCATTTTTCTCATACAAAAAGTCTGAAAAATCAAGGAGGTTGCAGTAAACTGCAACATAGTATATTGTCATTTGTTTTTATGAAGTATACTTTCTGATGTCCTACATTATCCTTGAAGGGGCAGAAAAACCTATGTCAGAAAAAAAGGCAACATTTACTAAGCACAGAATAAACTGCACAGAGAGAAGACCCTTGTGGGATCAGAGGAAAAGGAGGTACCTGCTTTTGGGGGTGCCACAAGGCCTCAAAGACACGGCAGACTTTAGATGGTCATTGAAGAGCTCATATACTCATACTCACCCTAGGAAACTGAGGTGAAGAGAATGAAAATTGGTAACACTCCCATTACAACATGTCTCTCACCTCAATAAGGTGCAGGTGAGGTCACTTGCTAGTAGAAGGGACTGTAAAGGAGCAAGAAAAAGTCTGGAGTAACTAGTGGGGGAGAAGTGATAGTAGTGGGATGAATAAAAACCAGAGTGGCAGTGAGGTTCCACTGCATGACTTTGAGACAATGATATAAATTACTAGAAAGAATTAGAAATGTAGAAACAATCAGTGATGTTTTGTGATTGTTTCTAACAATAATGAGTATGATTAATTTGGATAAGAAAGCAGAGAACTGAAATGATGACTACTCAGGGAAGTCAGAGATTTTAAGTTACTAGTGACAGCAAGTGTCTATGGAAACAGACATTTGCTTAGGGTGGCAAGTGAACTCACAAGGGTCTGGAGGACCGAAGTGATGCATCAGGAAGGAGGCCTAATGGGTTACTAGTGTCCACTCAAGCTGAGTGCTGAAGGTGCTGTGGTGAGACAGCAGACTCAGAGGTGAGGTCATGAAGAGGGTAACTGAGGCTTGGATATAGGCATTATCAGAGCAGAAGAGTTTGGAATAAATGTGATTATGATATTGGATAGGTTGTCTGTTGAGGTCACTATGGTGACAGCAAGAGCTGGGAGCAGCTGAAGACTATAAACTGGTGCTTGAGGAAGATGGGAGAGATCTCAAGTTTGGAAGACAGCTTAAAAAGAAATCTTACAGGGCCCTCTCTGGTGGTGCAGCGGGTTAAAGCACTGCACTGAGAAGCTAAAGCCACTTCCGCATGAGTTCGATCCCCGCCCACCCGGGAGGTGACCACATGGCATGGCAGACCTCTCCTGGCCCACCCGCTGCTCCCCTCAGCAGTGTACTTCGTAGATCTGTCTGTTCTGCTTCCCTCTCTGTCTCTGGTGAAGCCTCTCGCCACCCCTGAGCCTCTGGCCTGTACCCCAGTTCTGCATGCACAAATAAATAAATCTTTGAAAAAGAAAAAAAAAAGAAATCTTACAAACATTAAAATTAACATGGACAAAAGCAGCAGGAATCTGAGAAAGAAGATGTGGTTGAGCAAGAAGAGGCTGA